TTATTTATTTGCGGGCCGTCAGGTAGCTCAGCAGACTAAAATGCCTGCTTAGGCACAGGGACCCAGTTTTGATTCCTGTGTGCCGTGCCTCACCCCTGGGATGTACTGAGGTGATGACTGAGCCTGGGCATGGTGATGCACACCTATAATCCCAGCACTTGGGAAGCTGAAAACAGGAGGATCACTATGCATCAAATCTGTGTTGTGAGACCCTCTAGACTCTGTACTAAATACATAAAATAAACATTAAAAAATTATATTTGGGCAGTATCCAAATTCAAGAAACTAGCAGATTTGGTTCATTTATAGACTCTTAATTTTATTAGTAAAAAGTCCAATCATTTCTACCACCAGTTGTTCAGGACACCTGATGGGACAGTCATGCATGTTCCACTGGTTCAAGCCTGAGAGAACATGTTAAATTTTGAGATAGGGTCTCTTGAGTTGCCTGGGCTGTCCCCAAATGTGAGATTCTCATGCCTCAGACTCCCTAGCAGGGCTGGGGAGATGGCTCAGTAGGATAAGTGCTTGACTGGCAAACGCAAGGATCTGAGTTCAATCCCTGGTTCCGACAAAAAAAAAAAAAAAAAAGACTCCCTAGCAGCTGGGACTACATATGTGCCCCACCGTGCCTGGTGATATTTTGTTTTTAATTTATGACTAGCTAGCTTGTTTAAAAAGTTTTCTTGGGACTGGAGAGATGGCTCAGTGGTCTAAAGCACCTACTTGGAACAAGCTTGGCAAAGCAGGGACCGCGGTTCTAATCCCCCAGCACCACATGCCAGCCAGCCCTGCCCCCTGGTGGGCTGAGCTGGCCACATACACAATAAATAAATGTAAAATAAATAAATAAAATACGCTTAAAAAAAAAATTTAAAAAAAAAAATAAAAAGTTTTCTTTGTTCCTAAACAGTCTGAAGATGATGAGAAGCTGAAAAAGAGGAAGGAGCGATTTGGGATTGTCACAAGTTCAGCCGGAACTGGAACCACAGAGGATACAGAGGTAAAATACACTTACCAAGCTTCATAGTACTCTTGAAACAAAAGGTTGAATACTGTGAGTGGAGAAAAATACCTCTCTTTCTCCAATCTAATTCTTAAGTTCCTAGATGAAAAGATTAGCCTTTAGCTTGATAACTTCTTTCTGGGTGAAATAATCACACTGAATTCCATCAGTGTATTTAATTTATTATTATACCCCATTAGTCTAGTGACAAAGAACACAGACTTGGAAGCAGGTAGGCTTAGATTTAAAAGTGGTTGTACTTGGGCCAGGAAGATAGCTCAGTGACATATGTGCCTGGCGAGCACAAGTTCCAGAGTTCAGTCCCCGGTGCCAATGAATGAATGAATGAATGAATGAATGAATGAATGAATGAATGAATGAATGAATGTGCTTCTGCCACTTTTTATTACTTCTAAGTTACAGATACTTTCTGGACCCTTTGTTTCATTGTCTGGCAAGCAGAGCTTCAAAGTAGGATTTTTTTTTTTTTTTACTGGAAATTAAACTCAGGATCTTGTGCTTGTCAGGCAGGTGCTTGTGCTGCTGAGCAATATCCCCGGCCCAAAGTAGGATTTGGAGAATGAAGCAATAATATAATAATGTGCAAAAGAGAATGATTTTATGCAAAAATATTTGAAATGATGCTTGTTGTGTTGTAGTAGTGATTATTATTGTTATCTGTGGGGCATATTTCCTTTGACATTTTTTAAATTTTATTTATTTGTGTGTGTGTGTGTGTGTGTGTGGCCAGCTCAGCCCACCAGGGGGCGGGGCTGGCTGGCATGTGGTGCTGGGGGATTGAACCGTGGACCCTGTGCTTTGCTTGTTCTAGGTAGGTGCTTTAGACCACTGAGCCATCTCACCAGACCCTATCCTTTGACATTTAATGAAAGCTATTTCCACAAATGTTTGTGCCCAATTTCCCTCTGGAATAGGATAATACACTCAGATGAGGCTTCATGTTTACAAATAATTTCTCTAAATGCAAGGGTGGGGGCTGGTGAGATGGCTCAGTGGTCTAAAGCACCTACTTAGAACAAGCTTAGCAAAGCACAGGGACCACGGTTCAATCCCCCAGCCCCACATGCCAGCCAGCCCCGCCCCCTGGTGGACTGAGCTGGCCACACACACACACACACACACACACACACACACACAAATTTAAAAAAAAATGCAAGGGTGGGTGTTCTTAAGATCTGTATTCATCTTTATCTCAGGTTCTCATAGGGTGTAACTCATACTCACTGAGATTGAACAGTGACAGATAATGCTGATTTACTGAATTGAGAATATTTATACTGTAATGGAGAACAGATATCACCTGAGATAAATATAGAGAATAAGTGTAAATAACTAATATTTGTAGAATTACATAAAACTTTTGTCTACTTCTGGATGTAGCTTCTAAAATTTGGTTGCACATTCAAAATGTTGCAAAGTTTTTAGCCAGGCATGGCAGCACATTCCTATAATCCCAACACTCAGAAGGCTGAGGCAAGAAAATTACCACATGCTCAAGGCCATCCGGAACTATATCATAAGACCCTGTCTTAGAAAACAAGCAAAGCTGGGTGTTGTGGCACACACCTGTAATGCTAGCACTGGGGATGCTGAGGCAGGAGGATCATTGTGAGTTTGAGACCAGCCTGTGCTATAAAGTGAGCTTAAGGCCAGAGGCATAGTGAGACCCTGTCTTAAAAAGAGAAAGAAGGGGCTGGGGAGATAGCTCAGTAGAATAAGTTCCTGCCTGGCAAGTGCAAAGGCCTGAGTTCAATCCCCGGTTCCACAAAAAAAAAAAAAAAGAAAGAAGAAGGACTGGCCAATAGCTCAGCAGATTAAAGCTCCTGCGTAGGCAGACAGAGCGGCTGGGGTTTGATCCCCAGCGAGCTGTGCTGGCCTCGCCCCGGGTTGCACTGAGACAGCAATTGAGACTGGGCATGGTGGCACATACTTGTAATCCCAGCTCTTGGGAGGCTGAACGCAGGTGGATTACGATGAGTCTGATCTACATAGTGAGTGCCTATAGACCCTGTAGACCCTTACTAAAATACAAAAAAAAAAGAAGAAAAAGAAAGAAAAATGTGTGGGTATGTAGCTCAGTGGCACTGCATGTGCCTGGCAAGTATGAGGTTATGAGCTCCAGTCCCAGTTCAAGTCCCAGTCCCCTCCCCTGCTCCCCCAAGAAAGAAAGATTTTTATGAATAATTATCAGAGTCAGTCTTATAATCAGGGTTTTTGTTTGTTTTTTTGTCTTTTGAGATAGGGTTTCACTGTGTAGTTGGGCTGGCCTTCAACACTATTTATTCCAGGCTGTTCTTAAATTGGCAGTGATTCTGCTGCCTCATTTTCCTTAGTGCTGGGATCATAAATATGTTTCACCGTGCCTGGCATAATATAATTTTTTCATAATCTGATTTTATAACTTGATCAGATTGCATTCTGTACTAGGGAAAAAACTTGGGAGTTTGTATATTCTTTGTGCTAGTAAGAACAAAATGCTACTTGTTATATCTGCTTACTTATTTACCAGGATGAGTTTGCAGCAAATATAGGCTTGTTCTAATTTTGATTAAAATTACTCCATCCTTGCTGAGGAAACTACTATTAAATCAAGTGTGCTTGCTAAGTTGGTATATTTGGCCTCTGTAAGTTGCGGTTGAGAATTGGGTGGCAGATAACAGTGGGTTTTTTTGGAAGAGTTGGGACAAATAGGAGCGTGGCTTCTGAGGCTAATGGATATAGATAAAACAGACAGTTTTTGTTCAGTTTCTAAGAATTGTATCCATAGGTTTAGGTGGAATGGGATGAGCTTGTTCAGTATTTAGCTTTCTGTTTGAATCTGTACTGAACCTTCTATCAATGGACTGAAAAAAGGTCCCTTCTTGCCAAAGCAGCAATTGGAATGAGGTTAAAGGATTCAGTGCTGTTTTGTGAGTCACACATAGAAGAAAAAGGGTCTTCCTCAGCCCACTGTCCTGTCCACGCCCTCCACCATTTTGTACTCTCCTTCCAATGCAGTTCTCCCTTAAGAGATCCATGACAAAGACTCACTTGTAAACACCTCCCTCTTCCAATATATTCTATTGGTATTGAAGATTTATATTTTCTCCAGATTAGAGGCCTGAAAAATATCTACTGCCTGGGTCTGATTGTGCAGATGGGCATTCCCCCCACTGACTAGAAGACTTTTACTTAGCCTGTTAAGGACTCATTATTTCTTGGCTAGCTTGCTTTTTTTCTTTTTTTATATGTATTTGGTACAGGGTCTCACTACACAGCTGATCCTCCTGTTTTCAGCCTCCCCAGCACTAGGATTACAGGCATGTGCCATCACTCCCAGTCTTCCATGGCTCAGCCCGCCTAGGGGCGGGTGGGGCTGATGGGGGATTGAACCCTGGTCCCTGCACTTGCCTAAACAGGCACTTAGTCCACTGAGCTATCATCTCACCAGCCCTTCTTTTTTTCCTCCTGTCTTTTTGAGACAGTCTTGCTCTGCAGTTCAGGCTGGTCTTGAGCTCACTTTGTAGCCCAGGCTAGTCTCAGACTTGCAAATATCTTCCTGCCTCTGCCTCTGAGTGCTGGGGTCTCAGGGGTGCACCAAAACACCTGGCTAGGCTAGCTTGTTCTGAAGCTAAGTGGCTCTCTCTCTCTGGGAAGTCTACCACTGTTCTTTCTTCCCTCGCCAAAAAACCCTGCTCCATAATCTTTTCTCCCACTCCTCTTTTACACTAAACTTCCCCAGTTTTAACTGGATAACTGTGGAGATTTCGGAATGAAATTTCTGGCTGAAGAGCTTAAAGTCTGGGTCAGCCTTTCTTTTTGGACCTTGTGATAGTTCATGTGAGTTTGTGTTAAAGCAGCCAGGAACCTAGACTACAATTGTTCTATAGTCTAATACTTTTCTTCATGCTTTTTTTTTTTCTTCCTTACAGGCAAAGAAAAGGAAAAGAGCAGAGCGCTTTGGGATTGCGTGATGAAAAGTTCTTGATGCTGTCTCTTCTCTGGTGGTTTCCATTTCTGATTGTTCTTGATCACATATATACCTAAGTGCACAGTCATGTGCCTATTTCCTGCCTCACAGTGAGAGAGCATGTACCCCAGGTACACCTGAACTCCAGCAGCAATTTGACCTACTGCTGTTTCAACTTTAAGGTTGTTGTGGTTTTGTTTTTAATTATTTTGCTTGTTAATAAAAAAAAATAGAAAAGACAACAGTGTGTTATTAGGTGCTCTTTTAAGTTCTTAGAGCCAGATTAGACCAGGGAAAAACTTCAGAGGTGAATATTATAGGGAATTAGCCATAATGCCTTCATCCCTTAGCAAAGAAGACAAGGAAGAGGATCAAGTCTCCCCTTTAAGCCTATTTAGTCCTTTTCTCTTAATCATAGGTATCCTTTTTACCTGGTTATCCTCAGCAGTTTGGAGTGATCCATTGAGATAAAATAGGAAGAACATGGATTGAGGAGCTACAAAGGATATAAATACAAGGTCTGATGATTAGTGTTCTTTATTTGAAGCTAACCAAAATTGAATCTTGTTGGATAAAATGAAATTCAGAGTCCTACAATAAGAAAGGCCTAGCTAAATTGGTGGTGCACACCTGTAATCCAGTACCAGTAGAGTGAGACAGGAGGCTCACTGCAAACTTGAGGCCAGCCTGAGCTACATAGTTCAAGACCAGCTGAATTACCAGTTAAGACCTTATCTCAAAAATAAATGAATGAATAAAAGATAAACAAGGCAGACAGACAGATGAAACCTTTTTTCTGGGGTGGCCTGGCAAGATACTCTCTGGTCAGTATGTTGGAGGAATCTTGGTTATATAATTCAGGAAGGAGGATGGGCTAAATACCTTCTCAGAGATAGAAGAGAACCAGAGATTCAGAGCATGACAAAGGATGTCAGGGGTATTAAGCGTTCATCATTGGGAACCATATGGAACAAGACTAGCTGCCTACTTGCATACATTCATTCATTCATTTTTCTTTTATGGAGCTGGTTATAGAACCCAGAGTTTTGTACCTGATAGGCAAGTGTTCTATCACTCAGCTACATACCCAGCCACATTTCTGCTTTCTAGTCAAGCCCTATGTTAATTTAATATATCCTCTTCTGCTACAGAGATACCATTGTACTTCTGATGGTGATGTTTCTCAGATATTACCAAAATTGATATTTCTTGCTTGAGGTTACTACTTAGAACACATGTGGCTTTCCCCTGACAGGTTGCTTGTTTGCATTTTAAATTTTGTATAGATCTGACTCCTGGTCCTTTGTCTTTTTCAAGTGTTACTGAAGGGTTGACCTTTTATTGTGTCATTTTGTTTGTTTCTTGGGGGAAAAGGGTCATAAAGCTTATACCTTGTTTCCTGTATTGCTGTGATCCTTATTTCTACCAAAATCTTTGTGGTTAATAAAAAGGTAGTAGTTTGATCAGTTTCCCTGACATTAATCACATTTTTGCAGATTGGTTGGTGAGGAGGGTATCGACTTACATTTCAACACTTCAGTAAAACTATGCCTTGGAGAGCAAAGATTATCCATTTTTGTGAATTTTGCCCTGAGACCTTATAGATGTTTAAATGAAAGAGGATGTTCAAGTTTTGTCATCTCAATAATTTGTTTTTGGACACAGTCTCACACAGGCTGGCCTTGAACTTGCTGAGGTAGTGATATTTTTGCCATAGCCTCCCAAATGCTTGGGTTACATGTGTGCCACCATTCCTCACTAAGTAAACTCTGTATTAGAACTTTCTCTGTCTTCCTGCTAGTCTCTTATGTCTGTCTGTCTTTACGTCAGGCTTTGAACTCAAATTAGTTTTCTTCACTCCATGTCTGTGTCTACATTTTTTTTTTAATTTTTATTTATTACATTTATTTAGAGTGTGTGTGTGTGTGTGTGTGTGTGTGTGTGTGTGTGTGTGGCCAGCTCAGCCCACCAGGGGGCGGGGCTGGCTGGCATGTGGTGCCGGGGGATCAAACCGAGGTCCCTGTGCTTTGCCAAGCTTGTTTCAAGTAGGTGCTTTAGACCACTGAGCCATCTCTCCAGCCCGTGTCTACATTTGAAAACCAGAGATGTTTTTGAAATATGAATGAGGATTTATATTCAGTAAGGATTTCTACCCCAGGATGGTTTTAAAAAATTAGGTAAGGGACTAGAGCATATTCCACTAATAGTGTAGAAATAGTCCTTCAGTTTTTCTTCACCCTGTCTCTTTAGAAATTTTAGATACAGTCTCACTAAGTTACTACGTTGCCAGGCTGGACTGGAACTTGGGATCTTCTGCTTTAGCCTCACAGAGTGTTGAGATGACAGGCATATGCCACCATGCCTGGCTTCTCCAAATCTGTGATACAGTTCTTTGGCATTGTTCAAGGATCCTTTTTCCTCTCATTGCTGGAGCTCGAACCTAGGTCCTTTGCACACTGGACATTTTAAAGTTTTTTTCATTTTCTGTCTGTTTTGTCATTTCACATATATTTAAGGATACTCAAAGGTTAAGGATTTTGGATACTCCAAATTTGTATGTCTTATTTTATCTTATTTTTGAGACAGAGTCTCTATGTAGGCTGGCTTTGAACTCTTTTACTAATTTAGTCTTCTAAGAGTATATTTTATTTGCCTAAATAGAACAGGCATCCAGGCTTATAATTCTTACAAGTTATGTATTTGTTTATTGATTTATTTATTTTTGCAGTACTAGGGATTGAACTCAGGACCTGCACTTGCCAGACTAGCGCTTATTCTGAGCTATCTCCCTGGCCCCCAGACTTATAATTCTTTATCTGGGATCCAAGTACCTGTCCTTCCGAGTCCCCCAGTCTTCTTCCTGTAGCTGATCTAGCATCCAGATATGGTCAGTGGACCCCTATCCTTATTCTGAAGCTAAGACATTCTCTGCATACCTGGGAGCTGTATAATGAGGGAATCTATAAAAGCTGTGCAGGGGGCTAGGGAGATAGCTCAGTAGAATAAACACTTGCCTGGCAAGTGCAAGGTCCTGAGTTCAATCCCCGGTTCCACAAAAAAAAAAAAAAAATTGCTCTGCAGGAAACTAGCTTGCTTAGCTATAAATCTGTGCCTTTTTATGCCTCCTAGGAGTTTTTCTCTACCATCATCCTAAACTGGTCTGCTTCCTGCCCCAACTCTTGCGAGCTGAAGATAGAAGGCTAGAAGCTTCTGTAGAGGTGAAGGTTACAGGAGGGTGTGAAGAAGGGCAGAACTAATTGGTGTTGTATGTTTGAAATAGAGTCTCACTTTGTAGTTTAGGCTGGCCTTGAACTCACTATATAGCCCAGCCTGGCTTTGAACTCATGGTGATCTGAGTGCTGGGATGACAGGCATGTGCCACTCTGCCCAGTAGTGTTTTGTTTTTGAGACATTTTCTCAGGATGTTGCCAGTGTTGCCTAAGCTGGCCCTGAATGAGTTCTTCCTGCTCCACCTTCCCAAATGGTTGAGATACAGGTACATGCCACCACACCCAGCCTCTTTTTGGTGTTTTGTTTTGTATTTTTGGTGGAACCAGAGATTGAACTCAGGCCCTTGTGCTTGCCAGGCAAGCACTTATTCTACTGAGTTATCTCCCTGGCCCCTCTTTTTGGTGTTAAACTCAATTCTTCGTTGTCTACTGTGAAAAACAGTAGAGGGGAGGGGCCTGGGGAGATAGCTCAGTAGAATAAGCACTTGCCTGGCAAGCGCAAGGGCCTGAGTTCAATCCCCAGTTCCACCAAAAAGGAAAAAAAAAAAGAAAAACAGTTGAGGGGAGAGGAAGGAACTTGAACTGTTTGAAACACATTAGTTAGTACTTTGGATTATTGGAATCTTCTGACAGTCTAGCCTTCCTTGCTCTCTGGAAATACCCAGATTCCTGATTTTCCCCTTCAAAGGGAAAAAATTTCACACCTTTACAGACCCTTTCATCTAATGTGTTCTGTCTCATTTTCTCTTTTCCTCTCTTGTCCCTTAGTTTTCCACTTTTCATACCACTATTAGTAGATTAGATTACATTGTAGGGTAGGATTTTGAGACTGGATCTTGCTGTATAGCTAGGCTTGACCTCATGTAGGCAGGCTGGCTTTGAATTCACAGTAATCTTCTGTCTCAGTCTCCCAGGTACTTGGATTGCAGGCATGTGCTATCTAGCCCAGCTCAGACAGAATATATTTTGTAGCAAGTACTTAGCTTTAATTTCTCATTCTACTACTCTAGTTCTGAGATCTTAGGCTAATTAAAGTGATATTTATTTAATCAGTACATTTACTAGCATGATACCCATCGAATAAATACTAGCTCTTAATTTTACACAGGTAAAATTAAGATTTAGTGCAAGTGAAAAAATTTTTCCTGAACAGTTTCCAGCTAGAGGATGGGGGAGGGTTATCTGTACCTATACTTGCTTATGCTGTTGTGTTTGGAGAGTAGCAAGAAGTGGGACAAGTCCTATGTACTCCTTTAACCCCAGGCCATTGGCAGGAAAGCTGTCATTGTCACTTGGGGCATTGGCTTTCCTGCTTCTGACTCACTGTAGACCAGAAATTTAAGTGTCACTGCCATCTGGTTCTTAGCTTGGGTGGGGGGCATACTTCATATCCTAAAACTGGCAAAAGCAGAGTTTGGAATAGCTGTTTGTGTACTAGCTTGGAGGGTGCTTTGCAAAAAGAAAAAAAACTATCTTGAGAATCGAGTTTCATCTGGATAACTCTTCAGGGCAGGACAAAAATGAGCAGTAGGAAAAAAGGAACAGAAAACAAAAAATAAATGAGCAGTAGAGGAGAGCACCCATTTTTGGCTCAGGCCAATTGCCTAAGGGTAGGTCTGGATAAAGCAGTTCCTTGGGAGACAGTACACTACAGAGCACCTGTTATTCATTTTGTCTCAGCCTCACTTTATCCCATCCTGTAGTTGGTATGGGGTGGCAGGTCAGCTTGCTGGTAGAACTGACAGAACAGGGAAAGCATGGTAGCACATCCATCATTCTGGCTTTCTTTTCCCTTTCATTTCTTTTTCCTTTTTTGGTGGAACTGAGGATTTAACTCAGGCCCTTGTGCTTGCCAGGCAAGTGTTTGTTCTACTGAACTATCTCCCCAGCCCCTTTTTGTTCTTATTTGAAATAAGATTTCACTGTGTAGTTCAGGCTGACCTTGAACTTGAAGAAATCCTCTTGCCTCAGCCTCCCAAAAGCTGGGATCACAGGCATGCACCATCACACCCACACCCGACTCCTTTTTTTCTCTTTAAATATATCAAATATCCCACGGTATAATTAATATGTATCACAAACATATATCATAATTTTAAAGAACATAAGTTGTGGGGCTGGGGAGATAGCTCAGAGTAAGCACTTGCCTGGCAAGCGCAGGGCCCTGAGTTCAATCCCTGGTGTACCGCAAAAAAAAAAAAAAAAAAAAAAAAAAATGTTGGGCATGGTAACACACACCTGTAATCCCCACTTGGGAGGCTGAGGCAGGAGGATCACAAGTTTGAGGCCAGCCTGCACTACAAAGCAAAAAAGAAAAGGCAGGGTTCATTTGCCAACCCCCCCCCCTTGAGCCCCAGGCATTGTGCTCTAAGTACATGGTGCAACTTCTACAATGGACTCAAAAGAGTGTTCAATTCAAGGGACCACCCACTTAGGGTCCCCCTTCTGTCTGTCTCTCAGAAACTTTCTTTCCCTCAATAAATCTATTCTCATTAAAAAAAAGGGGGGGGGCAGGGAGATGGCTCAGTGGAATAAGCGCTTTCCTGTCAAGCGCAAGGGCCTGAGTTCAATCCCTGGTTCCACTAAAACAAAACAAAACAAAACAAAAAGACTGTTCAAGCTCTTGCACTTGGTCAAGGTACATGGCTGGTGGTTCAGTTTATGTTGAGGAAATCTAGGGTCGTGGACTATGGAAGAACAGGACAGACATTAGCTGGATCATCTTGAGAACTTTTAGATTTTCCATTGTGCAGAGACTGGGAGTGTTTGTACCTTTGGAACTGTTCAGGATCAAGCTATCTAGATTAGAGTTGTTTCAACTTCCTTCCCCTTTCCCATCCTGCTCCTGTTCCTTGGACTGCATTTCCTAACCCCGATTGCACATGCCCTTAGTGTTTTTGTTTTTTCCTTGTTCCCAGGACCCCATTTTCTTAGCTGTAGAGCAAAGGTTTTTTCTCTTAGCTCTTCTTCTGTTCTCTGAGGTGTAAATATGGCGCTTGATTAGGGAGAAGAGTTCAGCACTGAATTCTAAACTCTTTGACTGCTTTTATTTTTCTTTTTTCAGGTTCAAGTGCTGGATTGTGTCATGTGACCATCCCAAAACTCAGAGCACCCTATGGCCATCTTTGCCCTCTGTCACATAACTTGAAATCTGCTTGATGGCCTTTTTGCAATGGTTACTTCCAGGAAGCCTTGATTTCAATGAAGAAGTCCTTTCCCGACATTCCAGTGCCCCATCAGCCCCATATTCCTCAGACACTCTTAACAAACAAAGGCAATCACACACGTGATGTAACAAGTACACAAAGTAAATAATCACACTAATATGTTCGCAGGGGCACTGGCCAGGTTCATACAAATAAGGTGGAGGGGTGCTTCCACTGGTTGCCGGGCTGTCCCCAAGCCTCTTTGTCCCATGATTTTTGGGGGTAGGGAAGAACAGGGGACTGAGACTTCAACTCATAGACTTATATTTGTAAGACAAACCCCCCCTTCTCTCTTGCAAAGGTCTTTATCTGTTGGTACTAAAGGAGCAGTATTTTAAATAACCTCCCCCAAGTTTAGTGCCCCAGCTCTCTAATTCTGTAGAGGGAGGTTACCTAATGCTGCTGCCTCCCCACTACCCTGTCCTAGATCAACAGACATTTGACCTTGGGGGAAGAATCTTCTTTCTCCTGCCCCTCTCCTCCTACCAAAGAAATGTGAATGCATTGATGGTCAAGTATCTGATTCTCCACTGAGGCAGAAGGATGAAGAATAGGGCTGGAGAGGAAAGGCTTAAGTTTAGCGTGTCATTACTAAACAGGAAGTTGGTTGAAAACTTAACACCTCTGTGAAAACACCTTGTCTCATTTTCTCACTATGAGAACATGGGTAAGACACTCAAGCTCACCAACATTATCTTCCCAAGGTGGCCACGTACCTTTGCCCCATCCAAGGTCTGGTCAAAGCGGGAGAGATACATGCCTAGGAAGCACAAGCCTTCCAGGTTTGTTCTCCAGCACGGGCTTTACTTCAGTTCAGTACTGTTTCTGCCAGACTGTAACTGTTGGATTTATGGAATAGTGGGGATTTTGCTGCAGGTTTTCAGCCCCTCCACTCCTGACCTCCTCTAGGCTCTAGCCTGGAGCCAGGAGGTCAGTGGGTAAGGTATGGGTAGGGTGTGGAGATTCTTGACTCCTTGGCTTCAGGCACTCTCCAGCTGGCAGGCAGCAGGGAACTTGTATTCATTCTCTAAAGCCTGTGACTCCTCTGAGCCTCAATCTCTTCGCCACTGCTCTGGTGCCCTGGTTATCTGGTCCCACAGCGAGAGGTATTTTATGTCCATAAAGTGCCCGTGGTAAGTGCTCAGAATTCATCTCTTGGCTGTGGCGGGTGCTGCTATTTCTCATTCCATTGAGGGGAAGAAACTGAGGCCCAGTGAGTCCAGAGGAGGGTGCATTGGGAATGTGGGAGGAATCAGTGGGCCCAGCTAATGACTTGAAGTGGCAGTTGGTCTGCCTGCTCTCTAGCCTTCAAGCCAGAGTCGCTGTCCTTCCCTTCCTCTGCTGTAACTGGCCTTGTCAGATGCCTTTCCCCATTGTACTGTTCCCTCCCTGCTGCCAGATACTGCTATATTCCAAAAATAAAAAATAGAAATTATAGACACTCTGCTCCCTTGTTTTCCCTCCTACCCTGAGCTTTGGGGTTGAGGGACTAAACTGTCCCCCTCCAGAATCCCTTCCACCTTGGTCTATTGGCTCTATTCCCTAGCCCAGAGCAGTGATTTGGATTCAGATGCCCTGTAACCTTCAGCCTATTTAACCACTCCTTTCTTGACCCCTCCAAATCCTTCCCAGATCTGGGGGACTCGGATCATTTTTCTTTTTCTTTCTTTTTTCTTTTTTTTTTTTT